TCGTCGTGGTCGTTGTCGTTGTTGTCGTCGTCGTCGAAGTCGTCGTCCTTCGGGGTCAGCGGACGCGGCCCGTGGGGGGCTCCCCCGGGGCCCCATCCGCAGCGAAGGGCTTCCCGTGGGGAATCGAGGCCAGATTCTCCACGAGAGACACGCCGCCGCGGACAGGGCCCGTTGAGGCTCCCCGAGAGCCCCGTCCGCGGCGGATGGTCTCTCGTGGGGAACCGGGGCCGGATTTTCCACGGGAGACACCCTGCTGCGGACAGGGTCCGTTGGGGGCTCCCCGAGAGCTCCGTCCGCGGCGGATGGTCTCCGGTGGGGGATCGGGGCCGGATCCTGCACGGGAGCCCCCCCGCCGCAGACAGAGCATGTGGGGTGGTTCCCGGAGAGCTCCGAGGCTCCCGTCCACGGCGGATGGTTTCCCGTGGGGAATCGGGCCCAGATTCCACGGGAGACACCCCGCCGCGGACGCGGCCTGTTCGAGGGCTTTCCGAGGGACCCGTCCGCGGCGGATGGTCTCCCGTGGGGAATCTGGGCTGGATTCTCCACGGGAGACACCGCGCCACAGGCGCGGCCCGTTGGAGGGCTCCCCGAGAGCCCCGTCCGCGGCGGATGGTCTCCCGTAGGGAATCGGGGCCAGATTCTCCACGGGAGACACCCCGCCGCGGACAGGGTCTGTTCGGGCCCATGGGCGCTTCTCGCCGGAGGTCCTGTTTGGCATGGCGTCGGGCCCCCGAAAACCCGCCCCGGGAGGTCTCGTTTCGCATGGTGTCGGGCCCTTTGAGGTTTCTCTCCGGAGACCCCTCGCCGCGGACATAGCATTTTGGGTGGCCCCCCGACGGCCCCGAAGCCTCCGTCCGCGGCGGATGGTCTCCCGTGGGGAATCGGGGCCAGATTCTCACAGGAGACCCCCCGCCGCGGACAGAGCATGTGGGGTGGTTCCCGGACCACCCCGCCGCGGACACGGCCCGTGGGAGGGCCTCTCGAGGGCTCCGTCCGCGGCGGATGGTCTCCCGTGGGGAATCTGGGCCAGATTCTCCACGGGAGACACCCCGCCGCGGACAGGGTCCGTCGGGGGCTCCGTCCGCGGCGGATGGTCTCCCGTGAGGAATCTGGGCCGGATTCTCCACGGGAGACACTCCGCCGCGGACGGGGCCCGATGGTGGGCTCCCGAAGGCCCCGAGGGTTCCGTCCGCGGCGGCAGGGTCCCGTTCGGGCGCATGGGCGCTTCTCGCCGGAGATCGCGTTTGGCGTGGTGTCGGGCCCGTGAGCGCCTCCCCCGGAGGTCCCGTTTGGCATGGCGTCACGCCCTGAAAAATTGGTCCCGGGAGGTCCCGTTTGGCATGGTATCGGGCCACCGAAAACGCGCTTCGGGAGGTTCCGTTTCGCATGGTATCAGGTTCTTTGAGGCTTCTCTCGGGAGGTCCCGTTTCGCATGGTGTCGGGCCCAGGGGGCGCCACCAGGGGGGGCGTCAATAAACGCCCCGTCCGCGGCGGATGGTCTCTCGTGGGGAATCGGGGTTAGATTGTCCACGGGAGACCCCCCGCCGCGGACAGAGCATTTGGGATGGCTCCCCGAGAGCCCCGAGGCATCCGGGCCAGATTTTTCACGGGAGACCCCCCGCCGCGGACAGAGCATTTTGGATGGCCCCCGACGGCCTCGAAGTTTCCGTCCGCGGCGGATGGTCTCCCGTGGGGAATCGGGGCCAGAGTCTCCACGGGAGACCCCCTGCCGCCGACAGAGCATGTGGGGTGGTTCCCAGAGAGCCCCGAGGCTCCCGTCCCCGGCGGATGGTTTCCCGTGGGGAATCGGGGCCAGATTCTCCACGGGAGACGCCCCGCCGCGGACGCGGCCCGTTGGGGGGCTCCCCGAGGGCCCCGTCCGCGGCGGATGGTCTCCCGTGGGAAATCGGGGCCAGATTCTCTACGGGAGACACCCCGCCGCGGACACGGCCCGTTGGAGGGCTCCCCGAGGGTTCCGTCCGCGGCGGATGGTCTCCCGTAGGGAATCGGGGCCAGATTCTCCACGGGAGACACCCCGCCGCGGACAGGGTCCGTCGGGGGGCTCCCCCGAGAGCTCCGTCCGCGGCGGATGGTCTCCCGTGGGGAATCGGGGCCGGATTCTCCACGGCAGAGCCTCCGCCGCGGACAGGGTCCGTTGGGGGGCTCCCCGAGAGCCCCGTCCGCGGCGGATGGTCTCGGGAATCCGGGCCGGTTTCTCCACGGGAGACACCCCGCCGCGGACAGGGCTTGTTGGGGAGCTCCCCGAGGCCCCCGTCCGCGGCCGATGATCTCCCGTGCGGAATCGAGGCTGGATTCTCGACGGGAGACACCGGCCCGTGGGGGAGCTCCCCGGGAGCCCCGTCCGCGGCGGATGGTCTCCCGTGGGGAATCCCGGCCGGATTCTCCACGGGAGACAACCCGCCGCGGACAGGGTTCGTTGGGGGGCACCTTGGGGGCCCCGTCCGCGGCGGATGGTCTCTCGTGGGGAATCGGGGCCGGATTCTCCACGGGAGACACCCCGCCGCGGACAGGGCCCGATGGAGGGCTCCCCGAAGGTTCCGAGGGCTCCGTCCGCGGCGGCAGGGTCCCGTTCGGGCCCATGGGCGCTCCTCGCCGGAGGTCCCATGTGGCATGGTGTCCGGCCCATGAGCGCCTCCCCCGGAGGTCCCGTTTGGCATGGTGTCTCGCCTTGAAAACCTGGTCCCGGGAGGTCCCGTTTGGCATGGCGTCGGGCCCCCTAGACCCGCCCCGGGAGGTTTCGTTTTGCATGGTGTCGGGCCTTTCGAGGCTTCTCTCGGGGGTCCCGTTTCGCATGGTGTCGCGCCCAGGGGGCGCCACCAGGGGGGGCGTTAATAAACGCCCCGTCCGCGGCGGATGGTCTCCCGTGGGGAATCGGGGCTAGATTGTCCACGGGAGACCCTCCGCCACGGACAGAGCATTTGGGGTGACTCCCGAGGGCCCCAAGGCATCCGGGCCAGATTCTCCACGGGAGACCCCCCGCCGCGGACAGAGCATTTTGGGTGGCTTCCCGACGGCCCCGAAGCCTCCGTCCGCGGCGGATGGTCTCCCGTGGGGAATCGGGGCCAGATTCTCCACGGGAGACCCTCTGCCGCGGACAGAGCGTGTGGGGTGGTTCCCGGAGAGGAGCCCCGAGGCTCCCGTCCACGGCGGATGGTCTCCCGAAGGGAATCGGTGCCGGATTCTCCACGGAAGACACCCCGCCGCGGACACGGCCCGTTGGAGGGCTCCCCGAGGGCCCCGTCCGCGGAGGATGGTCTCCCGTGGAGAATCGGGGCCAGATTCTCCGCGGGAGACACCCCGCCGCGGACAGGGTCCGTCGGGGGGCTCCCCGAGAGCTCCGTCCGCGCCGTCCTCCGTCCGAGGCCCTGCCTCTTTGACTTCGTCGCTGCGGTGTCGCATCTGTCGAGATTGCGCGCGTTTCTCGCCATGGCAGCCGTCATCGCACTCCTCCCCCTCCTTCTACTTCTCTCTGCCACCATCGTCCCCGCTGCTACTATTCACCGGCGCCGCCAACGGCGTCGGCGCATCCATCGTCGCCGTCGCTACCTCTCGCGTGGCGGGGACCTCGGAGTAGAGAGGCATGGCCCCTTTACTGCCAACAGCGCGTCGTCTCCGTCGCGGGGGGCTGGATGCCGGCAGACGGCCCCTCGCCGCCGCGCAAGCGCGCGAAGCGGGAGCCGGGGACGCTGTCCGAGGCGCCGGCCGAGGCGCCCCTGACCCACCTCGCGGAGTGCGACCACCTGTTGTCCCCGTCGCAGGCGGTGTTGGTGGGGCAGGGCACCAGCATGCGGAAGAGCAATCAGTTGGAGGTGGCTGATGCGCTGATCCTCGACGCGACAGTCGCCCTCGAATCATGTGCGTCCCACGAGGTCTGCTTGACGGACGGGGCCGAGGCGCGGCCTGCGGGCGGGCCGGAAGCGCCGGCCGCGGCGCCAGCCGAACCGCCAGCCGAGGCGCTGCCAGACGTCGGCGACCAGGCAGGCGGCTCTCAGGGAACTCGGATCGTTCGCAAGGCGTCGGGCTCCCCGGGGCGCCACCGCGCCATTTCCAGGGCTTCGGTTTGGCATGGTGTCGAGCCCATGGGCGCCCCCCCGGGAAGTCCCGTTTGGCATGGTGTCGGGCCCTCGACAGTCGGTCCCGGGAGGTGTCGTTTGGCATGGTGTCGGGCCCCCTGGGGCTTTTTGCGGGACGTCCCGTGAGGCATGGTGTCGGGCCCGGGCGCCTCCACGGGAGGTCCCGTTTGGCATGGTGTCAGGGCTTCCCGAAAACTTGGTCCCGGGAGGTTCCGTTTGGCTTGCCTGGTGTCGGGCCCCCGAATACCCGCCCCAGGAAGTCCAGTTTGGCACGGTGTCGGGCCCCTTGAGGCTTCTCTCGGGAGGTCCCGTTTGGCATGGCCGTTTGGCATGGTGTCGGTCTCTCGCAAACCCGCCTCGGGAGATCCCGTTTGGCGTGGTGTCGGGCCCGTCGGGGTGTCTCCCAGGAGGTCCCGTGAGGCATTGTGTCGGGCCTCCGAACACTTGCCCCGGGAGGCCCCGTCTGGCATGGTGTCGGGTCTCCGAAAATTTGCCCGGGCAAGTTGGCATGGTGTCCGGCTCCGAAAATTTGTTTCGGCACGTCTCGTTTGGCCTGCCATAGTGCCGGGCCCCCGAAAACCTGCCCCGGGAGGTCCCGTTTGGCACGATATCGGGCCCCCTTGGGGCCTCTCCCGGGATGTCCCGTTTGACATGGTGTCGGGCCCCCGAAAACCTGCTCCGTTTGCCCCGTTTGACACGGTGTCGAGTTCCCGGGGGCATCCCCGGGAGGTCCCGTTTGGCTTGGCGTCGGGCCCCCGAAAACTTGCGCCGGAAGGCCCAATTTGGCACGGAGTCGGGCCCCCTGGGACCTCGATATCCCGTTTGGCATGGTGTTGGGCCCCCGAAGACTTGCCCCGGGAGGTCCCGTTCGGCATGGTGTCGGGACCTCCCGGGGGTCCCCGTCAGGTGGGCCGCTGCTGGAGCATCCCGCTGGCGGGCGTGGCTGCGAACCGCTACTTGGCGCGGGTGGTCGACTCCTCGGACTCCGAGGTCGGCGATCGACGTTGGATCCGCGCCAGCGCTGCCGCCCGCCCCCTTCCCGCCGGGCGCCAGGGGGGGTGCGGAAAAAACAATTGCCCCGGGCTTCTATTCCTAACCCGCCCCCCCTGCCGCCGCGGCGGGATCGGGGCGCGAGCAGGGGCGCGCATGGAACGTCGATCACTTCTGAGGAAGCGGCGCCTTGCCCAGGCGGCTTCCCCAGTCGGTTTCCCCAGTCGGTTTCCCCAGGCGGCAGTGGTCGCCCTCGGCATCGCGGACGGGCCGGGGGCCGCGGCGGTGGCCCCCGCCCAAGTGGCCGCCCTCGGCAGCGCGGGCGCGGCTGTGGCCCTTCGCAGCGGTCTCTTCCAGAGGCGGCCGCGCTCTGGCGCTGCCGCCCCCGAGGCAGCCGCCCCCCAGCGGCTCGCCCCGCACGGTTTGCAGGAGGCTTGGGGTGAGGACCCGGCGGGGCCCGTGCCCGCGCCCGCCGCCGCGCCCGCGCCTGCTCCCGCCGCAGCGGCGCGGGCCCGCCGGGGCGGGTCTGGCGCGGCCGCCCACGGAGCAGCCGCCCCCCAGCGGCTCGCCCCGCCGAGTGTGCAGGAGGCTTTGGGCGGGGGCCCGGCGGAGCCTGTGACTGCGCCCGCGGCCGCCCCCGCGCCAGCGCCCGCTGCCGTGGCGCGGGCCGGCCGGGGCAGGTACGGGGGCGGGCGCCAGGGCTTGCTCGCGGCCGCCCAGGCGCGGGCCGCCGCGGTGCGGGCTCGCCCGGGCGGCGGGTATCGGGCTTGCTCGATTTGCGGCTACGCCCGGTGGGTCCCGCTCTGGGGTAGCCGGCAGCTGAAGTGCCTGTCGGGCTTAAAGGGTCCGTGGCGCTGCCCCAACGCTGGGACTGGCCTGCGGCTGTCGTCTTGGCACCGCCAGCGCGCGGTCCAGGAGCGGGAGCGGGGCGCGAGCAGTCGCCAGGTCGTGGCGGGGGCGGCCGCGGTGCGCGCCCCGCCTGGCCCGGCGTTTTTCGAGGCCCTCTGGGCTACGCTTTAATGAAGCGTTCCCGGGGTTCGGCAGGAGGAGGAGGAGGAGGAGGAGGAGGAGGAGGAGGAGGAGGAGGAGGGGGAAGAGGAGGAGGAGGAGGAGGAGGAGGAGGAGGAGGAGGAGGAGGAGGAGGAGGAGGAGGGGGAGGGGGGGGGGGTAGGAGGAGGAGGAGGAGGCGGAGGAGGAGGAGGAGGAGGAGGAGGAGGCCCCCGTCCGCGGTGAAGAATCTGGCGGTTGCCACGAGTTGCGCCCCGGCGCCATCGTTTTGGCGGGGAGACGATAGGGGTGGCCCTCTTAAGTTGCGCCCCGTCTGCCGAGGAAGCACCCTCCGCCTCGCAGCGATTGTGCGATCCTCGCGGGCGTTCCCGGGGTTGCCCCGAGTTGCGCCCTTTTGCCATCGTTGCCCCGCTTAAGCTGCGCTCCTCTGTTGAAGTTGCACCCTCCGTCGCGCGGCGAGGACGGTCCCTGGTGGGCCCAGGGCATGCCCGCCAGAGACATCCTGCCGTGGACGGGCCTCAGGGGATTAGAGGGCCCTGGGAGTTCCCGGGGCCCAGGAGATTAGACCCTCCTCGTCCACTGCGCGGAGGGTCTCTGGTGGAGAATTCGGCCCTGATTCTCCACCAGAGACTCTCGGGGATCCCCGCGACCCTTCGCCAGTGCCGTCGGCGCATCCATCTTCGCCGCCGCTAGCCTTCCTTGCGGCGGGGGGCTCGGGGTAGAGAGGCGCATCCCCCGCCGCGCGGTGGCTGCGCGCCCCTCGCGAGCTTCGCGAACTAGCGGAGGCCAAGCATGCAGTTTTCGGCTTCCATCCCGAGTGCTAGGTTCTAGCTTTGGGTTGCTGGAACCCTTGTGCCCGCCCGGATGGACGGGCAGGGGGAGGCGCTGCCGGGTATGCCCCGGGTCGCGCCCCCGAGTTTTGTTTTTGCATTGCGCCGCGCGGCGGTTCACCCGGCGCGGGGGAGGGCTTCCGGGGTTGCCCCGAGTCGCGCCCCCGCGCTTTGTTTTTGCAGTGCGCCGCGCGGCGGTGCACCCGGTGCGGGGGAGGGCTTCCGGGGCTGCCCCGAGTTTTTTTTTTTTTTTTTTTTTTTTTTTTTTTTTTTTTTTTTTTTTTTTTTTTTTTTTTTTTTTTTTTTTTTTTTTTTTTGTTTTTTCCTCTTCTCCCTCTCTCCAATCCTGCCTTACTCTCCCGCCAATAAACTTGCGCGCCGCATTTTCTTGCATATGATTGCATCTATTTGTCCCGCCGCAACTAGTTGCATTTATGTGTCCCTGGGGCATTCATGTGCATTGAGTTGCATTCGTCCGTCTACATGGCTTTTAGTAGCATTCATTTGTTCGGGTCGCAGGATCTGGCTCTCTGACTTCGTCGCTGCGATGGCGCGCCTGCTCTCGAGATTGCGCGCTTCTCGCCGTCGCGGCCGTCATCGCACTCCGCCTCCTACTCCTCCTCCTACTCGTCGTCCTCCTCTTCCTCTTTGCCACCATCGTCGTCGCTGCTACTACTCACCGCCGCCGCCAACGGCGTCGGCGCATCCATCATCGCCGTGTCTACCCCTCGTGTGGCGGGGAGTTCGGAGTAGAGAGGGATGGCTCCTTTACTGCCGACAGCGCGTGGCGACGACGACGAGGATGTCTCAACAAATTCCCCGGGGCCGGCTGTTCAGCCTGAGTCGCTGTTTCAAGGTCCCGGGGCCGCGCAACGGCCACCGAAACCGAAACAGCTGAAAACCTCCCGTCAGCGGTCAGCATCGGCGAGGAGATCTGGGATCAGTGACGCGGGGAGGTCCGAAAACCCATCCGGCAGATCGTTGCGAGCCGGCCTCGCCGAGCACGAGGGCCGGCCGCTGCTTCGGGAACGGGGCGCGGGACCAGCGCGCGCGTAAGTTGGCGGACGCAAGCAGAAAACATATCGCCACCTCCACCAACGTCATCTTCTGCCGAACGAGCGCCCCGCCGACGACGACGTCGGTTACAGCAGCCACGGGGGGCCCAAGAGCATTGCAAAAGGCTTCGAGATTACCCCCCAGAGGCCCCCGACTCGTCGTCGTCGTCGTCGCCGCCGCCGCCGTCATCGTCGTCGTCGCGGCAGCGGGGGGCTTGGGGTAGAGACCGCCGTCGTCGTCGTCGTCGTCGGCGGCGGCGCTCGCACGTCAAAGGGGCCGCCCCTCTCGTACCCCGATCCCCCCGCTGTCATCGTCGTCGTCATCGTAGCGGCGGCGGGCTCGCGGTAGGGGGGGGCGGCCCCTTTCTACCCCGAACCCCCCGCCGTCGGCGTCGTCGTCGTCGCCGTCATCGTCGTCGTCGTCGTTGGCGGCGGCGTCGGCGGCGGCGCTCGCGCCTCAACGGGGGCGCCCGCCCTTATCCCGAGCTCCCCGTCGTCATCGTCGTCGTCGTCGTCGCCGCTGCCGCCGCCGTTTTCGCCGTCGTCGTTGTCGTTGTGCTGGCGGGGGGCTCGGGGTAGAGAGGGGTGGCCCCTCTTTTGCCCAAGCCCCTCGTCGTCGTCGTCGTCGTCGTCGTCGTCCGCGGCGGATGGTCTCCCGTGGGGAATCGGGGCCAGGTTCTCCACGGGAGACACCCCGCCGCGGACGCGGCCCGTTGGAGGGCTCCCCGAGGGCCCCGTCCGAGGCGGATGGTCTCCCGTGGGGAATCGGGGCCAGATTCTCCACGGGAGACCCCCCGCCGCGGACAGATCATGTGGGGTGGTTCCCCGACGGTCCCCGAGGGCCTCGTCCGCGGCGGATGGTCTCCCGTGGGGAATCGGGGCCAGATTCTCGACGGGAGACACCCCGCCGCGGACAGGGTCCGTTCTGGCCCCTGGGCGCTTCTCGCCGGAGGTCCCGTTTGGCATGGCGTCGGGCCCATGGGCGCCTCCGCCGGAGGTACCGCTTGGCATGGTGTCACGCCCCGGAAACCTGATCCCGGGAGGTCCCGTTTGGCATGGTGTCGGGCCCCCGAAAACCCGGCCCGGGTGGTCTCGTTTCGCATGGCGTCGGGCCCTTTGAGGCTTCTCTCGCGAGGTCCCCCGCCGCGGACAGAGCATTTTGGGTGGCCCCCCGACGGCCCCGAAGCCTCCGTCCGCGGCGGATGGTCTCCCGCGGGGAATCGGGGCCAGATTCTCCACGGGAGACCCCCCGCCGCGGACAGAGCATGTGGGGTGGATCCCGACGGTCCCCGAGGGCCCCGTCCTCGGCGGATGGTCTCCCGTAGAGAGACGCGGCCCGTTGGAGGGCCCCCCGAGGGCCCCGTCCGCGGCGGATGGTCCCCCGTAGGGAATCGGGGCTAGATTCTCCACAGGAGACACCCCGCTGCGGACAGGGTCCGTCGGGGGGCTCCCCGAGAGCTCCGTCCGCGGCGGATGGTCTCCCATGGGGAATCGGGGCCGGATTCTCCACGGGAGACACCCGCCGCGGACAAGGTCCGTTGGGGGGCTCCCTGGGGGCCTCGTCCGCGGCGGATGGTCTCCCGTGGGGAATCCGGGCCGGATTCTCCACGGGAGACACCCCGCCGCGGACAGGGCTTGTACCTCGTAGAGCTCTTCGGCATCGATGAGCTAGAGGAATTCCGGCGCGGGGTGGAGCTAGCTGGTCGACCCGACCAGAACGGACAATGTGATAACTTTTGGGTGGTTTTGCAAATATTTCGAAGATATTTAACCATTTATTTCGAGAACAGATTTTTCGCAGCTGTAAACGACAATGACGGCCTCTCCGTCTTAATATGAGCTCTCTAGGTGCACTTTTACTATCAAAACACTTGGCGAAACCAAGTTTTTGTCGACATGAAAAAAACATGTTTTCTCTTTTTCGAGAAATGCTTCCAGAAGCCCTCTCTTCCGATGCTGAGCACTCTTACGCGTGCTAGGAGCTCTACGAGGTTCCCGGCGGTGACCAGGTTGACGGTTCACCGCCGGCGCCAGTTGGGGAGCTCCTCGAGGCCCCCGTCCGCGGCCGATGATCTCCCGTGCGGAATCGGGGCTGGATTCTCGACGGGAGACACCCCGCTGCGGACGCGCCCCGTTGGGGCCCCCCCCGAGAGCCGCGTCCGCGGCGGATGGTCTCCTGTGGGGAATCGGGGCCGGATTCTCCACTGGAGACACCCCGCCGCGGACAGGGCCCGATGGGGGGCTACCCGAAGGCCCCGAGGGCTCCGTCCGCGGCGGCAGGGTCCCGTTCGGGTCGCCGTCTGCGATGGCTCCGTCCGCGGCGCCGTCGCCGTCGTCGTTGAAGCGGCGGGGGTCTCGGGGTAGAGAGGGGTGGCCCCTCTGTGCCCCGAGGCTCCCGTCATCGTCGTCGCCGTCGTCGTCGTCGGCGGCGCTCGCACCTCAAAGGGGCCGCTCCTCTCCACCCCGAGCCCCGCGCCGTGATCGTCGTCGTCGTATTCGTCGTCGTCTTGGTATTCGTCTTCGCCGCCGCCGCAACCGTCGTTTTCGTCGTGGTCGTTGTCGTCGTTGTCGTCGTCGTCGAAGTCGTCGTCCTTCGGGGTCAGCGGACGGGGCCCGTGGGGGGCCCCCCGGGGGCCCCGTCCGCAGCGAAGGGCTTCCCGTGGGGAATCGAGGCCAGATTCTCCACGAGAGGCACGCCGCCGCGGACAGGCCCCGTTGGGGGGTTCCCCGAGGGCCCCGTCCGCGGCGGATGGTCTCCCGTGGGGAACCGGGGCCGGATTCTCCACGGGAGATACCCTGCCGAGGACAGGGTCCGTTGGGGGGCTCCCCGAGAGCCCCGTCCGCGGCGAATGGTCTCCCGTGGGGAATCGGGGCCGGATCCTCCACGGGAGACACCCCGCCGCGGACAGAGCATGTGGGGTGGTTCCCGGAGAGCCCCGAGGCGCTCGTCCACGGCGGATGGTCTCCCGTGTGGAAGCGGGCCAGATTCTCCACGGGAGACACCCCGCCGCGGACGCGGCCCGTTGGAGGGCTCCCCGAGGGACCCGTCCGCGGCGGATGGTCTCCCGTGGAGAATCTGGGCCGGATTCTCCACGGGAGACACCCC